TGGAGAACATTAGTCCCAAAATAAAATAAAGACAAAATAAAATGACACTTTAAAAAATGGTAAAATGGTAGCGGTAATAATACTAGTTAAAAATAAAAATGTAGTAGTTGAAAGGGTAAAATCAGGTGATGGGAAAAAAAAAGAAAAAAAAGAAAAAAAAATGAGAATTCAGTGTGCATTTGCTGCCTCTGAAATATAGGCACTCACTTCTAAGGATCAAAGAGCGTCCTTTAGGGGTAACTGGCAGTCACCAGCTGACAGCCAGAAAGGAAACAGGGACCTCAGTCCTGCAATTACAAGGAACTGGATTTTGCCAACAACCTGAAGGGGCCTCCTGATAAGAGGCAGCCACAACAGCTTGATCTCAGCTTTTTGGACCCAGAACAGAAAAAACAGCAGAGTCAACTCAGACTTTATATGTACAGACTGCAATATCATAAATTTGTGTTGCCTTAAATCACTACATTTGTGGTAATTTCTTGTGATAGCAATAAAAAACTAACACAGAAAAAAAAAAGAGTTTGTTTTCTACATCCTCACCAACACTTATTGTCTTTGGGTATTTTGATAATACTTGCCATCTTAATACGTGTAAGATAATATCTCATTTTATTTTGATTTGCATTTCCCTGATTATTAGTGATATTGAGCATCTTTTCATATACCTGTTGGCCATTTGTAGGTCTTCTTTGGAGAAATGTCTATTCAAGTCTTTAGTCTATTTTTAAATCATATTATTTGTTTGTTTGTTTTTTGCTATTAATTTATAGGAGTTCCTTATATATTTTGGAAATTAACCCTTATCAGAAATATGGCTTGCATATATTTTCTCCCATTCTGTAGTTTGCCTTTTCACTCTTTTATTGTTTGCTTTGATATGCTTAAGATATTTAGTTTGATATTATCTCACTTGTCTAATTTTGTTTAAGATGTCCAGATGATTCACAGATTCAATTTAATCTCTATCAAAATTTCAATAACATTTCTTACAGAAATATTTTAAAAATTATAAAATTCATATGGAACCACAAAAAAATTCCAAAAGACAAAAATAATCTTGAAAAAGAAAAACAAAACAGGCATCACATGCCTGATTTTCAAAATATATGACAAAACTATCTTGTATAATAAAAGGCTAATATGCAAATTGTCCCCTCGGGAATTCAACTGCTCTCTATGATGTGTGCTGACCGCCAGGAACGGCGCAGAACAAAGGAAGGCTCCGACCGGCCCTATTCGCCGGCCAGGCCTAGGGACCCTACCCATGCACAAATTTCGTGTATGAGGCCTCTAGTCTATATATATAAAAGGCTAAGTGACCAACCATACATCTGTCCAATCATCCAACCGACTGGCTGGTACATATGATGCGCACTGGCAATTTAAAAATAAACATTGACTCTCATGCATGCGCGATACATATAAAGCTCTTGCTGCTGCCAATTGCGTGTAATGCCAGAATGTATCTGAAGACCAACTATTGGCACTTTGTTGTTGATATATCATGTTGTTGTTGTTTATTTATTAATCAATTTATATGTTATTTTCAGATATATTTTACTAATTTTATTTCATCTCTGACACTTCTATTATGGAGAAAGGATGAATAGCAATATTAAAATATTTTGTATTTTTATTTTATAATACTATATATACTATTTTGATATGTAATTTTTGGCAGTAACATAATTACCGCACGAATCTTTCTTCTAATTAACTTCCTTTCAATGTGCAGGAATCCATGCACCAGGCCACTAGTATTAGATAAAATAGTATGGTACTTGCATAAAGGCAGACTTTATAGACCAAAGGAACACAATAGAGATTCCAAAAATAAGTCCATGTGCATATGGTCAACTGTAATTCAACAAGGGAGCCAAGGATACACAATGGGGAGAGGATGGTCTCATCAACAAATGGTGTTGGGGAAACTGGATATCCACAAGCTAAACAATAAAGTTGGACCATTGTTTTACACCATACAGAGAAAAAATCAAGGAAAAACAGATTAAAGTCTTAAATATAAGACCTGAAACTTTAAACTCCTAGAAGAAAACAGATAAAAAGCTTGTTGATGTTGGTCTTGGCAATGATTTCATAGATATGGCATCTAAGCACAGGCAACACAAGCAAAATTAGAGAATGTATTGATAACTTTGTAAAAAAATTAGTTTATTAGAATTCTTATGCATAAACCAGTTAAGATATTTTTATTGGTTTGGGTTTTTCTCAAACTTGTGATGTTTTTTTCCAAACTTGTAAATGACTCACCTACCAGTACAAACATCAGCCTATCTACAAAATTTCTGGTTTCCAAGAAAAAGTCATTATTTTATAGTTATTTCTTGCTCTACTCAGGCTATGAGTCTAAGCTCATGTATATGGCTCCTGTAAAGTATGTGAAATGCTAAAATGTATAGGAATAAGCCCATTATAGAAGTGCTACATCTTGCCTCTCCTGCTAATTGCATTTGATTTGGCCTAAATTATTTCTAGTGTCTGAAATATAACACCTGCCTCTCCTGAGGATATTGTATTTTCATTCTTTGTTACTTGTCTCTATAAAAGGAAATACAAAATTGTTTTGATAAAGTTTCCAAGAAAATGAATTCTCATTCAACGTAGTTTTTAATAAATTAATCTCAGGAATTTTTTTTTAAATCAGTGTATTATTTAGCTTATAGTTTTTGTGCTAAGCTGTACCTCATCAATTCCAGAAAACAGGACTAGCCACAGATATAGCCCTTTTTGAAAATTTTTCTTGAGGAGGCAATCGACATAGCTGATTAGATATTTCATAGTCAAAACTCTTGTTTAAATCTTGTTTCATTCTGTTGTTTTCTTATTGGAGCTATAAATTTGACTGCTCTCTCTTTTCAAGTTGCCTTTCAACTATTTTGGCCTGTAAATTTCCTACTCTATTTACTTACTTATTAAAAAATCAAAGCTTTTTAGCCTGTGGACAAAAATGATTTTCTCCCAAACTTGTATAGTTACTCTCTTCATTGCCCTGCCCACTTTCTCTTTGCATAACACATTTTTAAAGACCCAGATGTTGCTGCTCATTTTATGAGAATCGCCTCATAGACTTTCCATCTTCTCTATACTTCCACTCATACAATCAATATTTTACTCACGTTGGTGAAACTAGTACCCACATTGCTGACTCATATTTGTTCTTCTTGGTGATTTCTTTGCCCAAGCAATTAAATCTGAAACTCTTTGGGTTTAAAATCTCAAGGAAAGAGGACAGCCCAAAATGTACCTTGTACAAATTTGCAGAAAAAAACCCACATTATTAAGAAAGTAAGGTAATTAAGCAAAGCTATCCCAGGTTGGCTAATGTGAAAATGAAATATTCAAAACTGCATTATGAGTTAATTTTAAACTGTCTGCTTTGATGATGTCAGTCTGTCCATTCTTCAGTGCCATTTAGCTGTTGCTGGCATTTTGGTCTGGAATACATCAGCTATAACAGCAATTCTGATCTTAACACAGCAGCATAAAAATATCAATTTTCAGCTTTTTTCATGTTCTATATCAGTTGCTGTCACCTGACTACTGAAACTCACCTACGCCTATCCTCTACTCCATACATTCCCCATATTCTATGCTCCATCCACACTTCAAACGATACACACATGCTATACCTTGCCCTCACTCCATATCTGTCATTGTACTTTCATGCTTCTGTAATAGAATATCATAGACTGGAGGGCTTATCAGTGAAGACATTTATTTCCCACAGCTCTGGAGCCTGCAAAACCCAATATGAAGGCTCCAGCAAATTCTGTGTCTGGGGAGGGTCCACTTCCTAGTTCATAGACACTTCTCACTATTGGTCACATGGCTGAAGGGATAAGCAAGTTCTCTGGGGTCTCTCTTATAAGGGTGTTTATTTGCATTCATGAGGGCTCTGCCCTGATGACCTAATCACTTCCCAAAGGCCCCACTTCCAAAGACCATGACATTGGAGATAAGGTTCCAACACAACCTTTCAGTCCATAGCAATGCCTTACCTATACTCTATAACTTACCCGTATCTAGTATCTCATTTATCCATATCCTTAGTCATACTCCATACTGGGCCTATACTCTATACTCTACCCACACTCACTTACCCATACTCAGGCTCTTCTTCATACTCCATGCCTTGTATTCTTTTTTTAAAAAATATTGTGGTAAGATACACAGAACATAAAGCTATCTTAACCATTTTTACATGTATAGTTCAGTTACCTATATTTTTTACCTTACCCATACTTCATGTCTTACTTATATTTCATACCTTACTTATACTTCATACCTACTCATATTCTATACCTTATTTATACTCCATACTTCACAGTATTTTATACATTAACCATATGCAGTAGCTTAGTCATACTGCATGCCTTACTCATATTCCATACCTTATTTTGTACTGTACCTTACTCAGACTCCATACTTTACTCCTGATACTTACCTCCCCAGATCCTTCATTATTTTTCTTTTAGTTAGCCTAAGGATCTGATCACCGACTAGCTTAGAGTTTTATTATGATTATGTAGAATAAATGAAGCATGAAACTGTTTGCTTTTTTATTCTATTAACACCAACTCACACGAAGCGTGGTGACTCACCTGGATCAGTATTGTCATCATTCTTCTCCTTGGGAGATTCTCGGGAAAGTATGAGGAACTTGCTGAGGTTGTCTTCTATGCACACTGTGTGTGTGTGTGTGTGTGTGTGTGTGTGTGTGTGTGTGTGTGATGTAGGGAAAACATCTTGTGCTGTTTTCTGTGTTTAGAGAGCCCACATACGTTCTATTTCATTTGATTGAAAGTATCTTTTAAAACCATCATGAAATAGTTCTACTTAACTTCGGGAAAAATGGAACCCAATCCATTTGGGATGGATTATGTAACTTATTCTGAGTATTTCCTGGAGAAAAACAAAATAACAACAACAAAACTATACCTATAGATCTAGTGTAAATCTTTTATTCTGCAACTTAACTTCATGTTCTTTTGTCTCAGTAGACCTTCCTCAGTAAAAAAGAGATTATTTCTTAAAAAGCAGATTTACATACACAAAAACTATTATTTAAGGGCCTTCCATATCCTTTGATAATTATAAATCCTAGTTGTAGGGAAAAGATGTTCTTAATATTTAAAAAAATAAAGTGTAAACATTAATGATATAGTTTGATATGAATATGTAATAGTTTGCTAGTTTAGCTAGAGGTGAGAGAGATGGCATGGCAGAGAACTTGAGCTGAAAAGGTGTTTTAGAAACCATATGCCCTGCAGAAACACTCAGGTAGCAATCCCTGGTTAAGTCATGTAATCAATTTCAGTTTTGCACAAGCCCAACACCCCATCTCGTGGAAGTTCCCGCAGCCAGTACGTTGTTTATACCAGCTTGGTCAGGGAGCCTGGCAGTGGCATTGGTATATTTTACAATTATCATTCCAGAGATATGATGAACCCTGGAGTAATGTACTGTACTTGGCAGCAACTGCCTCAGCTTTTGCGCACATATGCTTCAAATCTGAGAATATCATAGATATATATGGGAATCTTTGTAGAGATCTCTGAGGCAAGCTGGTATTTAACACAAAAGCAAACCCATTTGGAGCTAAAGCACTTTCCATTAGGCAGTTTGGCGGCTGTTCTACGAGGCAGACTCACTGTGCTCCACGGACACATTTCGATTAAATGCTGCTTTGTATTACTCCAAAGATGGGAACAATAAGGACGTTTGTCAAAGGAAAAACTGCAGCAAACAATTTCATGTTGAACATCTGTACTCTGCAGTTCATTGTTTGCAAGAGTTTATGGACCATAATTTTGATGCATATAGGTTTTAAAGAGTATAAACTGCATTTATCTTGGGCGCCTATCATTTATTTTAGTCTTGGCTTATTTACTTCCATTTTTTTCTGGGCATTTTATTTATTTTGGTACTCTGACGAGATGAAGGAAAGATGTTTCCAAAAAAGGAAGTTTAGTCAGCTTTGCAAAATTGATGAGGAAAGACAATGTTTTCATCAAAAGGACTGAGCAATTGAATTGAAATATGTAACACTAAGCATATTATATCTTTATGATACCTTTCAGCCTTAAAAGATCTCCAACCAATTTAAAACTTTAAGACCACTCTCCTATCTCATTGTCCATCGTACCAATCACAGTGACTTTTCCATAGTGACTTTTAGTAGCAGCTGTTAATTAACAAAGTAATTTGAAGATAGTGGAGTCAGAAGACTAATTAATGGCATTGTGAACGTGAGCCTGCCTGGAGTTGTCTTCTTTCACTTTATAGATGGATGACCCATTTTTAGAAGATGTGAGCTGTCTTTTCTGTATTTTATTCAGGGAAACCATGGTCCAGGCAATTCAAGTTAGTAAATCTTTATCAGTCATGATTTGAAGCATTGCTGAAGTCTTGATCAATTGGCCTAACTTTGTCCTCACATAAAATATAGAACCTTTGAATAGAAGAGAGGCAGGGCCAAAAAACTGACCATCTAGGAAGACAATGGTATTTCTTTCTTGAGAGACATTTAATAATAAATTAGTGGAGATACAGCAGTGGTTAAGAATGCTAACTTTGAAATTAGGCAAATTTGGGCTATAACCCCAGTACTAAGTAATTTAACATCTTATGAGCCTATTTCCTATTGCCTAAATGATATAGATATTAAAATATTTTATACGTTTTTATGAAGCTTATTTATAATGTACATATAATGTATTTATAATGTATAGAAAGCACAGTGTCTGGTTAAGCTTTCAATACATGTTAACTGTTATTAGTGGATTATTTGGTTCTAAGACTTGTCTAAGACTTAATCTGATCCTGATGGATTTAGTAGCCTCTTTAATTAAAAAAATAAGTTTCCTTTATTGTCCAATTGCCTCTCTATAGAGAAGACTCAACTGAATTACTCTTGACTAGGTAACTAACATTTACTTTTTGTTTTTGTGTTCATTTGTAGGGTGTACTCAGGCAGAAACTCGAATGAATTACTCTTGAATAGGTAACTAACATTTCCTTTTTTGTGTGTTCATTTGTAGGGTGTACTCAGGCAGAAACTCGAGATGGTTATGTGAGCTTCTCCAACTTGGCAATTTTGATTTCTGGGTCAAATTGGCACTTTCTTTTTACTGTCATTTCCCCTCCAGGTAATTTCAGCACTGCATGTTTTATTATCTGTTTGTTTTATTTAAAAAATAGCCCCTTTTCCTTTGTCATTGGAATAGCTCTTATCATGAATAAGGGGTCATCTAAGTTTAGAGAAAAACATCAATTGATTATATTATTAAGGTGTGAGAAGCAAGAGCACATGTAGAAATTAAGTCTCAGGAGAATCCTGGTAAGCAAGAATCCAAATGTCCATTTTCCTCTAGTTGTTAAAATTTTCTTTGAATTTTCTACTTTATAAAAATATATATATGTGACATTTGATAGCATTGGGTTGGATACTAATTAGAAATTTTAATTTACAGAAAAAAAGAGTCCTGGGATACAGATTATTATGAATTCTCTCATTTCTTCCCTCACCCACTGCCCCCCCCCCCAAATGGCAACTATACCCATTTAAAATCCTGTTTTTTTTTTAGAAATATAGATATAAAGCGTGTGTTACTTGCTTATATGCTTCAGTCCTTCTTGAAAAAACATTAAAAAGAAATTTCCCTTCTGAAGTATTCTTTTTTTAAAAATTTCTTTATTGGTTAAGGTATTACAAATGTGTCCTCATCCCCCCATTACCTTCTGAAGTATTCTTGACAATTTTTTATTTGTTAGAAGGTAATGCTATCCAACAAGTTTATAGTAGGTAAGATGTTAATTAAACTTCAAAGCCAGAGGAGCCTATGTAAAATACCTCTCTCTCATTCCCATGAAGGGTAGAGCTGAGAGTCCAATTTCTGCCATCCTCTTTTTAAAGGGTTGAATTCTGATAGAAACACAGAGCTTCCCACTTAAAAAAATAATTTAAATATCGCATGCATTATTTGACTTACCAGAAAATCCACCTAAAAGAATTTGTAAAATACTAACATCGCATTTGAACTGCAAGGTAGAAATTTACAATCAATTATTAATTTTGGTCAGGGAAGTTAGTCTGATTCCTGAAACATACAACTGTAGAAAGCAGTTCATGTACAGGTGTGATAATGCAAAGTTTTGTAAAATGCATTAGAGCAGTCATTATTTCATTGGGACCTCTTAGATATTGGAAATGGCAAAGGAAATAAAATGTGTTGATGTGAGGTATCTTAAGCCCAACAACAAATATTTAATTAAATCCAGACATTAGTCTTCCATCATGAAACATTCAAACTGTCATAGTAAACTTTTCAATACGTTAAAAATGTGGCTTTCATAAAAATATGTAAAGAGCACTTGTCAACAGTTATTGAACTCATAATGAGGGATCCAGGAGGACAGCAAAGCTGTTAAATTACATGTGAGGGATGTAGATCAACCAAGAAGGAGCTGCTGACATAAGTTTGTTAAATTGGATACAGGACAATAAAACTATAGCCTTTGAAGTTAGATGTCTACAGATATCCTGTGCATCTTTACTGGACAAAAATCATTTGCAGCTTACCAATCTTGTATTAATTAAGCCTGATCCTCAATTAAATATAAAGTAAAAAAATAGTATGTTCCAGAGAATTTGATAAATCTTGGAAGGGCCTATTTGAAAATGCTTCAAAATGACATTGATAAGATCTGAAATCAGGTTTTCCCTTAATTCCAAGTTTTGGACCATTTTCTTCACAAAGAGAATATCTTCTGTGATCAAGTAAACAATTATTATTAATTGTTTTAGGCAGATATTCTTTTAATATCTATGATGGTGTCCTAATTTAAGTAGAGGTTCATGGGGAAACATGTGCAAGGTCCTTGACCATGGGATTCCCAAGGATATATTTTGAAGGATATTTTGTCCTGGAGACTTTTGTCTTTTAATTTCCTTGGTGGTTAACTAAGCCTGAACATTTTATGAGGGTCATTTTAAGGAATAAGTTATAAAACCAAGTGTAAAATGTGGTCCAACTTCTCAGTAACACTTTGATTTTGAGTTGAGCTTGGTGTTCACTTTGACTAGGTCACTAGTTTACCTTAGGTTCCACCTATAACTTGTAAAGTAGACTGCTGAGGGATTACAGTTTTTCTTTAGCCATTTTCCTTAAATCATAATTCATAATTTTCAATATCAAGTCTGTGAGGTGGGGCTCTGTCAGAATTAGATTACAAACATTTAAATTAGCCTGGCCGGCGTGGCTCAGTGATTGAGCATAGACCTATGAACCAGGAGGTCACAGTTTAATTCCTGGTCAGGGCACAGGCCCGAGTTGCAGACTCGATCCCCAGTCAGGGGCGTGCAGGAGGCACCCAATTAGTGATTCTCTCTCATCATTGATGTTTCTATCTCTCTCTCCCTCTCCCTTTCTCTCTGGAATCATTAAAAATATATTTTTTAAAAAGTTTAAATTAGAAGAGAGTAGATGGAAGATAAAAAGAAAGCATTAAAAGGCCTGCATTTCTGTGAATCCTTATTGTCTTCATGTTTCATGTGTTTAAGTTTTATTCCCATTCCTTCTCCTTTGGCAACCATCAGCTTGTTCTCTATACTATAGATATGCTTCTGTTTTGTTTATTTATTTGTTTTGTGTTTTTAGATTCCACATACAAGTGAAATCAGAAGGTATTTGCCTTTCCCTGTCTGACTTACATCACATAGCATAATATTCAATAGGTTCATCCATGTTGTCGCAAATGGCAGGATTTCATTCTTTTTTATTGCTGAATAATATTCCATTAGAATATTATTTCAAATCTTCTTTCTCAATTCATTCATTGAAGGCCAACTAGATTGCTTCCTTATCTTGGCTATTGTCAATAATGCCACAGTGAACATAGGGGATATATATTTCTTGGGATAAATACCCAGGGATGGAATTGCTGGATCATATGGCAGTTTATCTTTTAATTTTTTGAGGAATTTTCATACTGTTTTCCATAGTGGCTTCACTGGTTTGCATTCCCACCAACAGTGTACAAGGATTTCCTTTCTCCGCATCCTTTCCAGCACATCTTATTTGTTGATTTATTGATGATAGCCATTCTAACAGGTGGAAGGTGATATCTCATTGTGGTTTTAATTTGACATCATATTGATTAAGAGTGAAGATACTGAGAGTAACTCCTTGTTTCCCACTATATCAATTTCTAACACTAGAATCATTTGGGAAAGCAGCTCTTATTCCCATATTGATAGGGCAATCAGTACCAGGCAGTTTTGAGAACCATGGCTCTGGATTTCCTAACCATTTCTTGGAGCCATGAAGTTCTTAGGGGATCCCCAAGGGCTTCTGTGCTGGGAAGAGAGTGAGGGAACCAAGGATGCTTTCCGCCATCAGTCCAGAAAAACGATTGCAGTTGCCATTTCCGTGCCTGAAGTACTTTTGCTCCAGAAATTCACATGGCTTATCATCATTTCACTCAGGTTTCTTCCTGCTGACACCTCCTCAAAGAGGCTTTTCTGTACCATGTGCTCTACAGCACCATCCCCAACCCTGCTCCCACCTCCAGTCATTCTGTCTTCCAACCTCACTTTAGTCCTTGTGGCACCTACCACTACCTCTCATCAGAGTATCCCTGGATTTGCTTGTTTGTCTACTGTCTATGCTCTGTGCTGCATTAGAATGTAAGTTCCAAAAGACACAGGAATCCTAATGAATTGTGTTATATTCTCAGGGTGTAGTGAAACATCGCACCTCATAGGCACAAATATTTATGAACAAGTAAGTATATTGAGATTATGTCTAAGATTGCATTTTAAAAAAATGTTCTGCTGCTAAAAATATTTGAAAACTGGCGGTCTGCAATCTTAGACCCAGCTTACTGCTCTAGGCATATAAACAAGTCTCCCTGACTTCAGGCCCTCAGAATTTTCCCTTCTATAAACTTCATTGCCTTCAGAATACAGTTAAGGGCCTTTTTGACTGACATTTAATGCTCAGAAAATTTTGTCTCAAATTCCTTTGAGCATTAATTCCCAGTATTTTCCGGCATTAATTTCTTAAATATCAATTGATCTTTTCTTCGTTCTGTCTTCATTTGCTCAACCTTCCAAGTCCCACTTAGATACTCTCTCCTCTGGTATGCTTCTTCTGATCATATCAATGCCATATATCCTTCCAAAGCAATTCATTTGCATTATTCTGGTGGCATGTGTCACATTCTGTCTTTTTATTACAAACATTTGTATGTATATCTAATTTCATTTACTAGCTTGTAAATACTTTAAGAATGAGAACAATAACTTATCCACTGAGCAAAGATAATAATCACTGAGCAATCATTGGAAAATGGATAAAAGAATGAGGAATTTTGTTTTTACTTCTGCAAATCCCTAGTAAAACCTATCCCCCATATCCGGGGTGGATTTATTTTATTCAGATGCCCATAAAAAGAAACGAATTGATAAGAAACAAGCCAAGTTTGTCTTCAGTAGAACCATATCTAGCTAATTTGGTTATGGTAGCTTTGGGACTGAGTCAGCCAGGAGTCAAGAGACTAAAGATCTGACCGTGGCTGTCAATCAAATTGTCAGGTTCAACCCAAGAAAAGCACAGCAAAGAAAAACATGGTGTTTCCCTGACTAGAGAAAATAAAAACTATTATTGTCTGAGTGATTCAGATGAAAGCAGAGATTTTGGATTGATTTGTTTGTTTTGAATAAACTACTTTAATGCCAACTATAACTAACTCGTGTTCTTAGGCAAGGTTTTCTTGTTTTGCTTTTTTTTTTAAATACATATTTTATTGATTTTTTACAGAGAGGAAGGGAGAGGGATAGAGAGTCAGAAACATCGATGAGAGAGAAACA